CATTCCCCTCCACTGGTTTCAACCAAGCACTAAATTCGATGTTTTCCAACCAAATACGGTTGAACTTACACTTCCCCATATTTATTTATAAGTAGATTCGAAGATACCTAATTTCTGAGTGCCGCTAGCTGAAGCTTGGTTGCTAGATTACTAGCTGGGTGTTCTTCGATAAGGGGCCGGGGGAAACAAAGTCAGTGATTACTGATTCCATGTTTATTGATTTCAATACAAATTGTTGGGGGGAACTGAAAGGCTCTTACCTTACTGGTTACTTTGCAGCCCGGACATTTCCCCCAAAACACTTAGACGCGATCGCAACACAGAAGTACCTTTCAAATCCGACCATTTTTAAGACCTTCGAAATCATATTTAAGACCTTTCTTATTTTTTTTTATCATATTTAAGACCTTTTTAAGGCCTGATGATCAAATGTAAGACCTTTTAAGACCCCGCGGCAACCCTGTCAGGGGTTAAGGGTAAAAATCGACTGGCCCGGAGGTCCAGTCGATTTTCATTATCACTGGCCCCACCATTGTAACCGCTGGCCCAATACAATTCGTCCAAAAAAATCCACTCCAATAATGAAGAAAATGAACACATTTGTTGCAATAGTAATTTATTTACACACAACATGACTAATATACTACAACATTTAAATCATCAGTTCTTCCTCATTTTCCTCCTCGGTCGGTTGATTTTGCCGTCCTCCTGATGACCAGGCTGTAAATCCTGGACGTCTGGCTCTTGACCCCGACTGCCACCACTGCAAAACAGCTCTCTTAGCATCAAAGGTATCCAGACTAGGCCCTTCAATGGTCAGGAACATGAGACGAGTTAGATTTTGGGTCGACAGTGAGGACCTCCAGTCGCTCTTCACCCTCTTCATGCAAGAGAAGCCTCTCTCACATGCTGCGGTACTGACAGCCATTGTTAGGTAGATCTGGGCAAAGATGCCTAGGTTGTTAAACTTGGTCTGTAGATCACCTCTCTGGAGTATTTCCAGGAGAGTGTCTCTGAGGGGCCCATTCCGCATTCTTGCCCAGATTTTATAGAGCCTGTACTCTCCCAACACCTCAGTGACTGTGGTCCCCTCACGCACCAGGATGCTCTGGTAATGGTGGCACAGGGACTCAATATTTGCTCGTCCATGGAGGACAAAGGCTTCTTTGGACTCATCTGAGTTGTCCAGTTTTGGCCACACATTATGATCAAGAGCTGAGAATTTTTGCACAATGCTCTCGGTAGACAGCAGGTCTCCCAGACGGCTCTCAATATGTTTGGCAAGCATGTCTGTAATTTTTTTCCTGTCTGTAGCCAGTATTTCTGTGGTGGTGTGTTTGAGCTCTACCCCTCTATAGGTGCCATTCATTGCTACAGCCAACATCTTCCTTTGCTGCTCTCCGGGCTCCAGACACAGCTCTGTAAGGCCATTGAGGCAGGCCTCAATGTACTGCACTGCCTCCCCTGGTGTCAGATTATCCTGCTGAAACTGGAGGCTCAGTGCCTTGAGAAAGTCCAGTGTATCCAGCAGGAAGTGCATGAACTGGACATTGGTGTGGCTTTTGAGGTAGTGGAGTATGTTCTTTGCCCTTCCCATCACTGCAGGTGAAGGTCGGGTTGTCCTCTCTGGGCTGACCTGGTCCTCAAAGTGGGCCACAAAGATTGCATAGCTATTACACAGGATCTGTGTTGCCTTGTATGGCTGTAGGGCAACCACCTGGACCC